TATTTGAAGTTCCCTCGTTTTGTTTCAAATGCAAATCTCGAATAAACTGGAAGTGAAAGTAAAAATGTGCCCGGTAAGGATTATATCAAGTTATATCCATTGGGTTTGTTCCTTCTAACACGTTCTTCATCGCTCTCGCATTGGTTAAATCCGCGGAGTTCTACCAACAATTTATTAAAATTGTCCAACGCCGTTAAACGTAGTTATAAGTACTTACAATTGGTCTGTGTTTAATCTCAGGAAACGTGGGTCTTTTGATGTCCTCTCGTTTCGTTTGGTAATGTTAGCCAATGCTCTGAGCGGAAATTGCAAATCAACTGAAACTGAAAGTAAAATATGCAAATAAGGCGTTAAGCAACTGAACTGTGAACTGGCTCCAGCTTGAATGATTTCTGGTCAAGAGATGTCTGGATAACCGAAAAGGTCAACTACTAATATTGTAAACAAAATCACAGCTTCCCACGCTTTCCAAACACGTCAAAACAATCCTATGACAAGTCATAGCATTCCACGACCACAATATTGTTGATGGAGGTTGAAAGTGCAATGAAGCTAGGGTTTACAAAACGAGTAATATTTGAAAATTCTCTCAAATTGTACGAGCGGTTTTAAAAGCTGATTTTGAAAATGACACGGGTAGGGAAAACCATTTAATAACTGCTTGCACTCTCTTAGGATTACTTATTTCACTAAGAACATGCACGCCCGTATTCCTGATTTGCGCCGCAGAGCAAGGAACCGTTATCCAATTATCTTTTGTCAGACAACTGAAATTAACCGGCGAAACACGCGAAACTACTCTTCCAAAAAATAAGTCCACCTTGTGCAAATTTTGCACACAAACTACAGTTCTATTAGGAAACTCTCCTTATGTACATACACATGGAAAACCTTGTTAAACCTGACAATTCAATTTAAATAAGCTGAAAGTAATCAAAGGCCCTTCGGGCAACCTCGTGTCACTTATTTTATAGTGCGAAGAAATCCACTGCTGCACCAAAAAAGTGTAACCAGAGTGCAATGCTAACTAAAGAAAACAGGCGCGTATTTTCACTTGATTAGGCTCCATCTGGCCCGATCTGAGCTTTGCCCAATATAAATTTTTGTAATTTATACCTGTTTTCTTATTCTCGGAAAGTCCACATTAGATGTTAGTTTTTAATCGGCTTATTGTGATTCCCAAATTTTTGTCATGTGAGGGTTGAATTCAGGTATTTACGACCCTTTTTTAAAAGGTTTCCAAAAACAGATTTAACATAGGCTTGAATTCCATTTCAGGAATGTTTACACGGCTGTGTATTAAAATAAAGCGACCTTTAATCTTAAATCTGTTACAATTAATTCTTGTGATTTATACCCAGTAATACCTGTTTGCTTAAAACTCGCAGAAAATACACTCTTAATCGGCTTATTGTGATCTCTGGACTTGACCAGTCCGGGATCGTTATCAGATTTGATAACCATGTGACGTCACAACATGGCGGCCATTTCAAAAACCGGGAATTTTCGTATTC